CTAGTTAGTCCAGTCGGTGTCCGTCCCTCCCAGTCAGTGCAGAGTCCGTCACTCACAGTCAGTGCAGAGTCTGCCCCTTCCAGTCAGTCCAGTCAGTGTCCGTCTCTCCCAGTCAGTGCAGTGTCCGGCAGTACCGCGGCAGTGTGTGTGTCTGGATGTATGTAGGTGTGTCGTTGTGTGTGTCGGACGGTGTCAGTGTGTCGGTGTGTGTCCAGAGTGTCAGTGTGTGTCGGACGGTGTGTCAGTGTGTGTGTCGCACGGTATCGGCGTGTGTCCCGGTGTGCCCGCGTGTGTCGGACGGTGTCGGTCGGCACCCACCTAAGCTGGTCCGCGGCTGCAGCACGGCACTGACGGCCGCCGCCGCCGACACCGCCAGCACCAGGGGCAGACGGCGCGCACCCATCCTCGGTGCGAGACGGCCGCTCACACCTGCCTATATGGGCGCGCACCGCGCCGGGCGCGCCGCCGCCGCCGCTGCGCCGCCTCCGCCGCCGCCGCGCCGCCTCCGCCACCGCCCCCGCCACCGCCCGGCAGCCGCCGCGCCGGTGGGCGGTAGGCGGTGTCGCTCTGTGCCGCAGCTCCCGGCTCCGGTGCGTTCGGGATTTTCCACCAACGGAATGTGTGAATGGACGCGCCTTTGTCTTTAGTTACCTTACTGCTAACTCTCTTCTTGGTACTCGTAGACCCGCTCAATTTATGGCGGAAGAGGGAAAGTTAAAACTTAAAACCGTGTTATTTCGATAAATGACTAACTAATCAATTTTAATGATGCGATGACATTTTGTTTTCCTCCATGTCAGCTGCTTTTTGAGCCCCTAAAATAAGAAATCCATTATGGGGGATGGGGGGGGCATAATGAAGCAAATTAACACATTTGCTTCAACTCACTTTAAAAACGGCAAAAGGCGTGTCCTAGCTTGCGTTCTTTGTCCCATTTGTCCGGTGCCGGGGTCGCGCTCAGGCACTTTCGTGACACAGCGCGGAAATTTTTAAGACCCTCAGTCCCTCACCCCCCCCCCCCCCCCCGCCCCACTCGGCTCCTTGGGGCTGGGTCACACATCGACACAAGATAAGCGGCATTCGATGAATGTTAAAATAATCATAGACAATCAACTTGGCTATTTTAACCCTCGCATGTGTGCGTCGTTTGCCAGCTTCTAATGTGTAGGGGAGGGGGGTCGGTTGGACCCCTTGCCGTTTGGCCCCTGATCGAGCTAGAGCTTCACGGAAAAAAACGAGCGTGTTGCCCGTGACGAGAGGAAGCCGATGATACCCAATTTTAAGGTCCTAGGTCATTGGTTGACCTTCCATGTCAGGTCACTGACCCAAAGTCGAGAAAATCGAGACCTGTTAGAAAGTCGTAAATGTGGCTGCTAAGAGTTTTTCGGGGTGCTGACACGAACATCATGTTAGTTTTGATCACAGATGATGTCTTTAAGCATTCAGACCAGGTCGGGTCAGGTCAGGTCAGGTCAACCAGTAGGCGTCGTGACGGGTATTCGTAGTACGTGTCAACTGCCTCTGACAGCTTCGTAACATGTTACGAAGGCACCAAAACTACTTCGTAAATGTTCAAATGGTTGCTAAATTCGAACTCAGCTCCAAAAACTAGCCTAGAAACATGTACATCTCGAAAAAGTGAACCGAGGTCACCAAAGGTCAGTGACCTGACCTGACCTTCAGGTGACCTTGACATCCACCCAAATGCATGGGAGCAACATCAAATCTTATGTTTGAGCGTTTGAAACCACGAGAAGCCTGCAAACGCGCGGCTAAGGTCTGAATGCTTAAAGATGTAACTGAACTGTGAAGTAAGGTCTCTGCACCTGCCACCTACATTCTCTTTGTTAGAAGAGTCGGTTAAAAATTTAGGCGTTTTTTTCTAATTTTAGTGAACGTGTAGGAGTTACTTAAATTTTAACCCGCGCCCCGTAGGGCTACCGGCGGACCCTACCACCCGTAGGGGGGGGGGGGGGGGGCGTTTCGGTCCCCCTAAGATCTCGTAAATTTACCGGCCGATTTTCAAAATTCAAACGGCGTTCGATAGCCCCACCCGGGAACTACCTGATGACCAAATTTCATTGACCTAGGTCAAACCGATGACGTCACAGGTCAGGTCAAAGGTCGGATTTTCACCGCTCACAGGCATTTCAAGAAATGTGTTGTGAAATCGAGTAAATTTTTAAGTTATTGAAAACCATCGATGGTACATTGTTCGTCAAGCACATGCTTCGCTATCTGAGGTCACTGATACCAGGTCAGGTCACAGAGGTCAGGTCACTGGGGGGTCACAATATGAAAGTGTCGTGTGATACATGTTTTATGGTCCATTTTACATGACAAATGCGATTATGTGGGTCAGGCAGCCTTTGGGGCCAGCGTAGGTCACGTTTTGGTGAAGGTCAGGTGAAGGTGAGGTCATATTAGGTCAAATTTCAAAGTTGATATTTTTGCATAAAATGGGTATTGATTCCATGCAGCTCGTCACGGAACGTCCAATGGTGGTCTTTGTTTTGCCCTACGTGGTCTAGAATTGCCAAAAAATGAGTTTGAAAATTTGACGTCATCATTTTCGAACAGTTTTTTCGCTATAACTTGGCCAAAAAACGGGATATCGATCTGAAATTTGGTATGTAGATAGAAGACGGTAGGTACTATCACATATATTCCGTTTTTTTCGAAACTCAAAAAACTTTTTGGATTTTTTGGCTAATATATCCAAGAAATCGCTTTTTATTTTTGGAGGTCACAACTCAAAAAATTTAAAAAAATCCGAGATAGCAGTTTTGTAGCCCTGTCAATTATACACCTTTTATGTCCTGATCATTTTTCTGTATCTTCAAAGCTGTAGGCCTGACAGCTCTTCTCGCGAAGGTTTTTTTTCGGTCGAAAATGGCAGAACATGACGTCATTCTGACGTCACTTGTGGCCAACCTATCATAGCCTCTGGAAAAAATTTTCGGTCACAATGTGTAAAATTGTTGCCCGGAGGGGTCCTAAAGGTTTGGTGGCGATATCTAGCCGTTTAGGAGATATCGACGGAAAAGGACAGGGGGGGGGGCGTTTCGCCCCCCCCCCCTACGGTGCGCGGGATGGCGGTATGACACACAAAATTTTAACATGAATTTTAGGGGTGTTTTAGTTGTTGTACTTGGACAAAGTAGCTTCATTCGATTCGCCGTGAAATACTGCATCAGATAGGCACCTTTCTGGCTCCAAAAATCAACTTCAAAATTTAACCTGACTTGACCTGACCTCGGGCCTTAGCTTCATTCAAATATGGTTCATGCCACTAAATGAGTATTGCTACTGCGTTTTATGCGTAAAATGGCACATAAACATAAACAAGTGTCTTACTCTATTGTTCGTCTTTGGTGACCTAACCTGACCTTGACCTTGACCTTTGCATACAATGCGTCTTGTCTTTGTAGCCTATGAACGCGTTTTCGATGATCAATCTCAGTCCGTTGATCGCCAAACGGGTGGGGGCAGAATCTGCCCTCCCGCCCCCTCCCCCATCCCCCCAGTAGGGCGCTTATGGCTGAATAGCCCAGCGGGGCGCGGGTTAGGGTAACCTGAGGTGAGGTGAAGTCCTCCCTCCCCACGACCAGGCTCTGTGTCCCACTGGCTCGGAGTGCACGGTGGTTTACTGATGACACTGATGACGGCTGATGACGCTGATGACGTGCGGAGTCGATCCCCTCGGTCATACGGCGGCGGCGCCGGATCAGCGGCCGCCGCTCGGTACCGGGTAATGCTCCCACTGCCTACCACCTACGTCCGACCCGACCCGCCATCGGTGCCGAACTATTTCCAGAGAGGTCAGGTCACCTTTTAGGTCAACTGCGGCCTGAGAATGCTGCAGACATGCCTACTGCGCAGTTCGAGACTCGTGTCATGCATTACTGTATGGTATCGAATGCCTCGTGCCATTTTCTCAAAGTATCGCTGTGCTCTGCCTTACTCTGACATAGCAACTTTACTGTGTGTAACATTATAATTCAACTGTGGTGAGTTTGTTTACTTTTTATCACATCACTTTTTATCACAGATCGACTGTTCAAATATTGTCGTTTTGACGACAGATGTGGGTGCGCAGGTCGCTGGAACTGCTTAACACACTGCTCTTGTCAAAGCGCAATAGAATCTCGTCCGTTCAATGCATCTGAACTACGTGTGTAAGCGACTTGACCTTCCCCGTTCAGCCTTTACCTGACCCTACCCCAACATTCGAGCGTGTCGCGGACAGAATTTAAATAAAAATAATCATTTTAACAATGGCGGTTTGTATTTCATACATTTGTTCAACTGGACCTTGAAACTAAATTTATATCATATGTTTTTGTTTGTTTGCTTGCTTGTTTGTGTGTTTCCTTGTTCGTTTGTTTGTTTCGTCTTTGTTTCGTCTGTTTGGTTCGTCTAACAATCATCAGAATGTATATGTTATATAAAGCTGAGTACTTCTCGACCATCTCTATCGGCATTGCGTTTGTAAGATACGGCTTGATGATTCACCGTAACTCCAATAGAGTGTCCATTTTAAGTATGCCATGGTATCTTGCACAAAATTTGTCCCCTCCGTGGCCGAGTGGATTAAAGCGCCGGAATTCGACGCTTAGCCGGTAGTGAGAGCCCGGTTCAAGCCCCGGTGCGGGCGGCCACATTTAGCTCCTACGTGTAATGGCGTGCGTGTCTGTGGCAGGGGCCGCACAGTAGCCAGGTAACGTGAGTGAGCGGAGAGGGCCGTGTCCAGTCGTGAGGGCACGTTAAACGTTCGGACAAAATTCTGCCATACTGATACAGCTGGAATTGCGCGATCGGGTGGTGGGGTCAGGGTCAGCACAACAAGCTATGCTTAGTGCGGGCTCTGATTCCTCAAATCCACCCATTCAACCATTCGGACTAAATTTATAAAAAAAAAAAATATACCTAATGCCCACACATATTTTCAAATCCGGCCAAGAAACAACAGCACGGGACACTTCACACCAACAAATATCGGTTGATGTTTACCATCCATCTATTTAGCTACAAACGTTCAGTGTCACCCCGCAGCATCATGACAAAATCACAGGTAGCCCCATCTCATCCACGGGTAGCGCATCTCATACACTCACTATGCCCTCTGATGTATATCCTACACAGGTCTGGAAATAAATAACAGAATGCCTTCTGCATGGCCGGCAATTCGCGCCCTTGCGCCGGGCGCGCCACTGCCCCAGCCGCCCACGGCGCACAAGCACAACGTAAAAAGCGGGCCGGGAGAGGGTCTCGATCGGTCCGTCCGTCCCGGTAATATCAGTGGCCGGCGTCACCGCACGCGCTCGTCTCACGGCGCCGCACCCACCAATGGCACTCCACGACCTGTGTCGTCCGGCGTCCCGGCCTGTCCGGCGGCGCCGCGCAGCGTCCGTCCGTGCCGGCGCCTCATGGAACACACGGGGAGCGCCCGGCCGCGCCCGTATTGCTGCTATCACTGCCGCCGGCCGTGTCCGCCGGCCGCTCACGGCGCGTAGCGGCGCAAAAATCGGCGCCGCAGCCGCTTCCTGGCCGACTTCCGGCTGCGTCTCCGTCCGGGTGGGCGCAGCGCCAGGTTGGACCAGTCGTCGGCCAGCGCCGGGTAGGCCGCCAGCGGGTGCACGTCGGCCGGCGTCACGCCCGGCACGGCGCCCGTCTCGAGCAGCTGACGCCGCTCGGAGGCCGTCCAGCCGGCGGCGCTGGGCAGCCGCGCGGCCACCAGCCGCTGCTCGTGCCGCCAGCGCGCCGGCACCGCCTCGGCGCGCGCCGCCGCCAGCAGCTCGGAGCGCAGCCGGCGCGCCGCCGCCTCGTCGCCGGCGCCGTAGTGGACGTGCACGGCGGCGGCGGGCAGCGTCAGCTGCAGCCGGTCGCCGGCCCAGCTGAGGTTGTAGCGGCCGAGCCGCTCCAGCTGCTCGGCGTCCGGCTGTCGGCGCTGTTCGGGCCGCAGGAAGTGCAGCTGTGGCCGGCCGGCCGCGTCCGCTGGCCGCACGTCCAGCAGGCGGCTGGCGTTGAGCACGCTGAGTGCCACGTCCTGGAGCACGCCGGCCGGGCCGACCTGGCGCAGCGCGGCGCGGCCGCCCTCCTCCGAGAGCAGCAGGCCGTCGCCGAGCGGCGGCCCGGCGGCGGCCAGCCGCGGCACCAGCGGCCAGCCGCCGCCGCCGCCGCCCTCCGGCCACACCCGGCCCGATACGGTGGCGCGGTCGGGCGCCGAGAAGGCGGCCCGCCGCCGGCGCTCCATGCACGCCAGGCCCGAGATGAGCCGCGGCCCGGCCGGCAGCCAGGGCAGCGCCAGCTCCGGCGCCGGCTGAGAGGCCAGGCGCTGGGCGTACACTGAGCCCTGCATCCGGTCCAGGTCGTAGCCGAACTCGCTCAGCCAGGCGCGCAAGTCTGCGGACGGAGACCGAGTGTCAGTAGGGAGCAGTCGGCGGGTCAGTCTGCTGGACCGGCAGAGAGGCGTCCTACAATCAGGCGACACTGGGCTTTCCCCGCCTGATCATTCAATCTCAGACGTATTGCTCTTGAATAGTTTCGGGCTTTGGCGTTCTTGGACAATTATGCTGTTACGATTAAGATTGCCAACATATGCGATTATATTTTTTACACTGTGAAACAAAAACTAAACCATGCTATTGAGTCACTGAGGTGAGTTTTGTAGATATGATTCAATGCGAAGATTGAAAAAGTACTCAACTACTGTACAGTAAGTTTGTTCGTAGCTCGACCATAGCAACTCGCAAGCTATGCCACAATAATAACTGGCATTGCCACAAGTCACCCTCGGGGACGCCAAATTTGTCTCCAGGAGAGGAAATTGGGACAAATGAACACTTCTCCCATGAGTTTCTCTGTTTAACCATTTTCTGCAAACGGGGAACGATGGCACTCGCGGGAAATAAGACATAAGGCGCGGAGACATGCGTATAAATAACGTTTATCTATGCCACAGACGGCAAAGTCTGGCCTGGATGCACTGTCTAGCTGCATGCAAGTTGTGTGATGTAATGCGATTTTAGCAGCATCCTGATCTGTTGTCAGGATAAGGGGGCGTAAAAACTACGAAACCTAATCGCTACCTAAATTACAGCAAACGGGGGAATGAATGGAACGTTGACGCCAAACCATTGCTCTCACTCTGCCGCGCCTAGATCTCATTTGGCGCTTAGGGTCCCACATTTGCGCACTTATGAAGAAGTTGAACGGTACGCTGAAAGTTGCTGTTTCTAATGGGCCTTCGATGTGCCTTCGAATGGCATTAATAATGTGCTACTTTAAAATCATTTATTGTATTGATGCCTAGTCCCCACAAGGCTCCCTCTTGGCGCCCCTGGCCTGGCCTCTGACTGACCTGTGGGCGGCGGCCGGCGCGCGGCCCCGCCGTTGACCGGGTCGTTGTCCATGAAGCGGTACAGGTGGAGCGCGGCCGGCTCATGCAGCCGGTGCAGCGCCGCCTCCCAGCCGGGCTGCAGGTACTGCTGCAGCCGCGGCTCGTACACGCGGCCGGCCGGGTCCCAGAGCAGGCCCAGCTCGGGGTCGCGCACCCAGCCGAACAGGCCCACGTCGAGCGGCAGCGCGGCGTTGGTGTCGCGGATGACGCGGCCCCACGGGTCTCTGCGCACCTCCTTCACCACGCTGCGGTGCGAGTTGAAGAGCGCCAGTGGCGTGCCGCGCGTGTCGGTGGCCACGTAGTGGCGCTGGCCGGCCGTCTGGATGGCCACCAGCTGGCCGCGGTGGCAGTACAGGTAGGCGTCCGTGCGGCCCTGCAGCGGCCGGTGCGCGTGGCTGAGCCGGCCCGGGTGGCCCGGGTCGGCGTACAGGTACTGCACCAGCTGGCCGTCCGAGGAGCGGCGCGCCGCCAGCCGGCCCTGCCAGTCGTACAGGTAGCCCACCTGGCGACCGGCCGCGTCCACCACGTGCGTCAGCCGGCCGGCCGCGTCGTACGTCAGCCGCCGGCCGCCGGCCGACGTCAGGAAGCCGTTCTCGTCATACTCGACGGCGTCATCGCCGAGCCGCGTCAGCCGGTCGGCCTCGTCGTAGCGCCGCTCGACGGCGGCGCCGCGCGCGGTGATGGAGCGCACGTTGCCGCCCACGTCGTAGTCGTACATCCACGTCTCGTCGCCGGCGACGGCTGCGACGCGTCCGTCGGCGGTGTAGTTGACGCTCATGTGGGACTCGTTGCTGCCGATGGTGGTGGTCTGGCGGCGGATGCGGCCCGCCCCGTCGTACTCCGTCTCCAGCCGGAAGACGTCGTAGCCGTGCAGGTTGAGCACGGCCAGCTGCGGCGCATTGAAGCCGCTCAGCATGATGACGCGGCTGAAGGACTTGTCGCCGTCGTGGATGACGGATCGGTTGGGGTGGCTGTAGTACATTTTGAGGTCGTCCACCTGCTCGAGCTGCCCCTGAGTGGACGAGTAGCGCAGCACCACCGGCGAGAGCTCCGTGTCGCCCACCACGGTACTGATCTGCAGCGGGGGCACGGACGGCGTCAGCGGGGGCATGGACGGCGTCAGCGGGGACACGGACGGCGTCAGCGGAGACACGGACGGCGTCAGCGGGGGCACGGACGGCGTCAGCGGGGACACGGACGGCGTCAGCGGGGACACGGACGGCGTCAGCGGGGACACGGACGGCGTCAGCGGGGGCACGGACGGCGTCAGCGGGGGCACGGACGGCGTCAGCGGGGACACGGACGGCGTCAGCGGGGACACGGACGGCGTCAGCGGGGACACGGACGGCGTCAGCGGGGCACGGACGGCGTCAGCGGGGACACGGACGGCGTCAGCGGGGACCGGTGGAAGGACCGGGCAGTGGCCATACACCGTCAGCGGCGAGCAGTGACCGGACAGTGGCCGGACGGTGCACTGACATGGAAAACATGATCAAGAAACGGATGGTGTGAGTGCACCGGTATAGTCAGAAGATAACAGCGAGATCAGAATTGTCATTTACCGCGGTTCGCCAAACCCTAACGATGTAAAAGAAAAGCCATTTTCCGCGAAGGTAATGAGACACCGTCTTCATCTTAGTGCCGGCATAAATGAACTGTTCGGTATTCTTTTACATTTTAGCATTTACGTAGGTAGCCGTTCCTAGAAAAGGAGATTTATCCCAGTTGATTCTTGACAGGTGACCGTTAGTCCTTAATTTAGCCAGGGCCATAAAAACAGGATCTAAAAGAAAAATAATGAATTTCACCCAGAGGCAGCCACTACTCTCCACCCGTACCTTTCTGAGTCGGGCGTTTCCGTCGTACTGGTACTTGAACTTGGTGTTGTGCATGTCGTCGCCCCTCTGGAACCTGTTGTCCTCCTTCTTGCGGAGTCCGGCGTGCAGCCGGAACTCGGTGACCGAGTCGAGGTCGGCGTCCTGCACGCTGACGGCCAGCAGCGCGCCGCCGTCGGGCTGGTAGCGCCGCAGCGCGTCGCCGGTCCCCCAGACGGTCTCCAGCAGCCGGCCGGCGCTGTCGTGCCGGTACAGGGTGCGCCGCCCGTCCGGAAGGCGCCGCTCCGCGATCTGCCGCGCGCCGGGAGGGGAGGGTGCGGTCAGGGCGGTCACACCATCTCCGGGACTAGCGGCCATCGGTAACCCATTCACTCGATAAGACCGAGTCAATGTCAAGGTTACTATACTTGTACGGGCTTGGATCTGTGATAAATAGTCATTCGTGACTATTATGTTATTACTGCTGTATCGACCTCGTGACTGTCTGCGCACTTTTAGCTGACGCAAACCATCACTGGAAGCGAGCTGTTTTTAGTCGGGGCCCCTGTCGTTAGACGCCGTTGTCAGTAATTGGTGGGCTCGCCGGGACTCCCCGCGGACGATATGGCTCTGCCGGTGTCCGCTCGATACCTACCGTCGTAACGTTTGACGATCTGCCCTAACTGCCTGGCCATGCGATTAGGGGGCCACGGGCTGTTACTGCTGTATCGACTTCCCACCGGTTCTCCGACCCAGCGACTGCCCGGAGCAGAGACCAACACTACCTGGGCTGTCATACCGTGCACGGCACGTACCTGCATCCGGTCGTTGAGGAGGACCGTGTAGGGCCGCTGCGAGCCGGGCCAGTGATAGGTGACGGACACCTGGCCAAACTCTGTGCGTACGGCCCAGCTGTGGCGGCCGCCGCTTGGCACGGTCACGGCTTCCACGGCGCCGGCGGCGGCCAGGTGCAGTCGGTACCGGCCGCCGGACGGCAGGACCACCGCTGAGGGCTGCGGGGAGACGGGTCAGGGGGACCGTCAGAGGGTAACAGAGGACCTCAGAGGGTCGGGTGTAGTCGGTACCGGCCGCCGGACGGCAGAACCACCGCTGAGGGCTGCGGGAGACGGGTCAGGTCAGAGGGGCGACAGAAGACCTCAGAGGGTCGGGTGCAGCCGGCACTGGCCGCCGGACGGCGGGACCGCGGCAGAGGATTGCAGCTGCAAGGGGAACGGTTCAGGTCAGAGAGACCGTCAGAGGGTGACAGAGGGTCGGAGGGTGTCAGTAGCCTGGGACATCGAGAACGCGTCCCACGTCATCCACATCCGCGGATATTCCCGCCAAACGGTGGTACTGTGCAGTTTTAGCGGATGTGCTGGTAGCTGATCCGCCGTATAGTGCTCGAACAGGTACTGCCATTAGGGGCGATTATCGTCCCAAAGTCGTCAGAGCAGAATCGATGGCGGGCTGGGCTCATTTCTTAGCTCCAGACGCCGCCGCGCCTCTCGACACACGTCTCGGCAATCACTCGTATCGGTGGACCCGGAGTTAGATTAGCGTCTGGTTATCCCGTTCCAAGTCCAAATCGAGACCCAACCTCTCGCATAATTGCAATCATGCTAGTGAGCTCCAGCTATTCGCCGGAATACCGTGCCCAAACATTTCCCTGATCAGTCAGCCTAGAGAAAAGTGCATCCCACATATGCATCCGGTGAAACCCAATCCATCAATGTGAAAGTCTTCAACAACGTCTCAGCAACGTCATACAGCAACGTCTTCATATTGCTTGATGCTTGGTGTTGAGGGACGTTGTAGCTTTAACCTTAATTTAAAAACTATTCGAATTGTGCTATTTCATCGTCTGTTTTATGGCCTGTGAACACGATAATTGGCTTATCGCCACCTTTATTGGTCTCGTGTGAGCTTATTCACCTCATCTGAAGCGTTTAGACGATATTTACGGTGCTCGGCTATTTCCTGAAAGACGAGTCAATAAAGAAGATCGCCTTTTCTCAAAGGACATCTGACGACTGAGGTGCTCAGTTCCCGGCCCTTAGACGCATTGGTCCGTCTCACCGTTTTAATTTCAGTTGCCTTTGTGAGGCGATTGCGGACTTTTTCTTCTTGATGTCTTTTTTTTTGCATAATGCGTAGATCTGAGTCTGAGTACTGAGCCTTTTGTGCTTGGTGGGTTGAATTACATTACATTATATTTTGACAGTTCCTTTACGCTCCGGTACGAAATTCAAGGATATTAGAATTATTCGCCTCTTCACTTTAGCTTTCACCGGCACATTTCTAGGTCTTTCCTGAATTGCTCGTGGTGGTATGATTTTGAACTTGACGGGGAAATGGAAGACTTAAAGGGCACAGCAATTTGTTAGCACTTTAAAACGTTCACTTTGTCAGCTGTCGGCAATCGTTAGGCGTTTTTTTTATCTCCAATTCTGGAGAAGAGAGGATCCTTTCGCCCCACTCCTACTTCATCTGAAGTCTGAACCGCTACTTGAGAGGCGGCAGGTCGGGGTCGAGGCGGCTTCATTGCGTGATGGACAGAATGCTGTTGAAATGATGTTACTGTTATGGGACACCCATCTGTGTGCGGGTGGGATGGAGTGGGGCACCCACTTGTGTGCGTGGTGGGATGGAATGTGTCGCCACACCATGAAGCTGGGATCGATACTACGGTCGTATGTTGTATGTCGTACCTGTGAGCTGGCTGAACTGGTACACCAGCTGCGATTGGTCCGGCCGGGTGGGACGGGATGGGACACCCACCATGAGTGCTGGTGGGACACTGGGACACCCACCTGAGTGCTGGTAGGACACTGGGACACCCACGTGGGTGCTGGTGGGACACTGGGACACCCACGTGGGTGCTGGTGGGACACTGGGACCCCCACCTGAGTGCTAGTGGGACGCTGGGACGCCCCCTGGTGCTGGTGGGACGGGATGGGACACCCACCTGAGTGCTGGTGGGCTGGCTGAACTGGTACACCAGCTGCGACTGGTCGGGCCGGGTGATGCTGGTGAGCCGACCCACGCGGTCGTACGCGTACGACTCGGAGCGACCGCCGCGCCGCCACTGCCGCAGACGGCCGAACTGGTCGTACTCCAGCTCCACGTCTGAGGGCAGCCACGGCGGGGTCAGCCGGTGGGGGCACAGGGTCAGCTGAGAGGGACATGTGTCAGCGGGGAGAGTCACAGTGCGCTCAACATGTAATAAGAAGAGGAGAGATTCGGCGGGCGCCGGCTCAGAATCTCCGGTAAACGACAGCAACCGGTCAACAGGGCAGAGTACAGGTCGCGCACTACGCCTCCAAGCCTCCTTAGAACTCATTTTCGCTGCAAAGCTCCCTACACCGTCCAGTGTACCTCTCAGCTCATCTTTTCGTGTCGCGCAGTCTCATCCGCACAGTGTCTCACCGAGGAAGAAGCCGTGCGCGCGCCAGGCGGTGGGCCGTCCCATGCGATCGTAGGTGGCGTCCAGGATGGCTGTGCCGTCGGCGGTACGCACGGTCTGCCGCTCGGTGCTCAGGTCGTACTCGAGCGCCAGCTGCAGGTCGCGGTTCACCTTCAGGTTGCGGCCCACCTGCCGGGGAACCGGGGAGGGCCGTGAGAGGAGGTGGAGAGGGAGGGAGGAAACGGGCTGCTCCTCGCTGAATCGGGATATTAGTCTGTAATAAAGCACAAAATATTCATGTGAATCTTGTGTTCCGATATGCAATTCACACGCTGGTGGCAGCTGGGTTCGAATATATCGTAGCACATTTCCATGACAATCCGTCAGCTCATATTCCATTCTATCTCGGTTACTCGGTCACCAGCGATCTCACGTCACTCCACCTCCACCCGCTGCTCTTACCGTGGTCACCCTCCTGTCCCGGTCCTGTTCCCCTTACCCTTGTTCACCCTATAGGAATCTTGGGTTCACCCTCCTGTTCCGGCCTTGTCTCACCTTGCTGAGGCCTGTCCCTCTTACCCTGGTTCACTCTCCTGTTCGGCCCTGTTCTTCTCACCTTGGTGACCCTCCTGTCCCTGCCGCGGCCCCGTTTCTCAGTGAAGTAGAGCCACTCGAACACGTTGACCGGGTCGCCGGCGACCACCTCCAGTCGCTGGCTGCCGGGCACCTGCAGGTGCTGCTCCACCTCGTCGCCGTCTCCGTCGAGCAGCGGGTACGGCACGGCGCCCGTCACCGTGGCGTGTCCCCAGGGCGTCACGTGCCGCAGCTGGCCGCCCGGCGAGATGGACGTCACCCAGGTGCCCGTGCCTTCGGAGGGCAGCAGCGGCGGCGGAGCGACGTCAGCGGAGCGTGGTCAGAGGACGCCCTTCGATAGGCATTCGACATTGGACGTGGGGTATTTGTCATGAATGGAACCATTGCGCGGCGCCAGATTATCACATCCACCTTCCAAAACCCAGTCTCGACCCATTGCAACTCATCGCTCTCTGCACGTCCTGCACCTGATCATCCAGAAGAATTATCCCCTGTCCTGTACCTGTACCACCCTCCCTCTGCCTCATTCATTCCTGTATGCAATCCACCCTTCTCCCTGCGTACCGTTAACCATGGTGACGGTGCTCCTCTGGATGAGCAGCGTCTCGGCCGGCGAGCCGTCGCGCGCCACCGTCACCGAGGCGCCCTGCTTGCTCAGGTCGAACTCGAGCCGGACCGTGTGGCCGGTGGGCGTGGTGTGGCTGATGAGGCGGCCGTACTGGTCGTAGTCGTAGACGGTGCTGCGCCCCGCGGCGTCGTACCGCGCCCCCATCAGACCTGCCGCGGGTGCAGGGACGGAGGGTCAGTGACGCGGTGGGAGCAGGGGTGGTGGACAGATGTAGAGGGCAGCGCGAGCAAGAGCTTCCGTGGAGGCTGCAGTGAACGGGAGGTGGCAGCACTGGGTCGGTACCGACAGGTGCGACAACCATATGTTCACTGAGTGAGAAACAATACATGGCTGCATTACATCCTTGAATAACGTTGACGCGTGATAATCTTGCACACTGAAAGCATTTCAAAGTCTGTTTTATGGCTCGCAGCAAACCTGGGAACAATGAACTTTGAATAATTGAATGAACGTCATCCTAAACCCCAGCCTCCGCGCCCGGAGTTTCTACCGGTCTTTGCTGCTACTCACCGGAGATGTCGAGGTAGTCGAAACTGGTGTTGAAGCGGTCGGGCGTGATGAACTGCTGCAGCAGGCCGCTGCTCGGCGACATGATGACCTCGCACTTCTGGCCCAGCGGGTTGTCGATGGACGTCACCTGGTACGAGTAGTCGCGCAGGAACGACACCTTGTTGCCGATGGCGTCCGTCACGGAGCTGAGCCGGCCGTTGCTGGCGTTCAGGTTGTAGGTGAACCTGTAGACGGTGCGGCGCGTCACGATGTTGCGCGTCTCGGTGTGCTGGCCGAACCGGTTGAAGATGTAGGTGTGACCGGCGTCGGGCGCGTGGATGTGGTAGCTGCCGCGCTGGTCGGCCGCCGGCAGCGGCGCCGACACCGTGCGGATCCGGTAGTTGGCCTGGTCGGAGATGTGCACCGCGCCGTCGGGCGTCACCGCCAGCGCCGAGATGCCGCCCAGCAGCGCCTCCGAGGCCAGCACGTGCTCGTCGTCGAAGCAGCGGCAGTGGTCCTCTCGGCAGTTGCACTTGGGCTCGGCGCCGGCCAGCGGCTGGATCGCGCCGTCCGTCCCGATGACGCGCACCCGGTTCACGCGCTGGCTGTCACTCTCTGCCACCAGCAGGTCGCCGTCCGGGGAGAAGGCCAGGCTCTGCGGCGACACGAGCGTCGTCTGGGCGGCCTGCTCGGGCGGAGTGCGCTGCCAGCGCGAGGTGCACTGCAGCGGCTTGCCGGCCACCAGCCGCACCCGGTAGTCCGAGGTCAGCTGGAACACCTGGGGAGAGCAGAGCGCGCACAGAGGTCACCACGGGAGCTGGTGTGGAACTTTGGGTATGGTGATCACCTTTACATATGGCACTGAATCCAATGGCTTATAAAATGCACATCCTCAAAACCTTAATAACGTTAGAAACTATGTTCGGTAGAGACAACACTGCGGTGTATGTCTGTGGTGTTCGATAGAGCGCCCGCAACCTGCCGACCTACCATGTGGTCGTCGATGAAGTGCAGGCTGCCGTCCAGCGGCGAGACGGCCAGCTCGGTTGGCCATCGCAGCTGCACGTGCTCGCGGCTCAGCGTGCCCACGCAGGGGAACGGCCGCCAGTGCGACTTGTGCAGGTTGTTGCCCACCAGGGTGGTGATGATGTTGTACGGGTCCACCATGCGGATGTTGGTGCCGTCGGCGAAGAACAGACTGCCATCCGCTCCGACCACAATGCCTGGGGGAAGAAGGCGTAAATAGTGAGAATGACTGCTGAGTAGAGTACTTACCTATGTCATGTGAGACGCCTTTTCGCCAGTGGCGGCGGAACACCTTCAATTAAGGTGGGCACTGTCGACTTTTGGTCCCATTCTTTCCATGCAACGCCCATAGGGCTAATGTTAAAATGCCGAAATCAGAGGGGGGCACGGTGCCCAGGTGCCACCCTCGTTCCGCCGCCTATGCTTTTCGCTAGTCATTTATGGCATTTGGAATTTCCGCATCATAGGAATACATAAATTCTGTGCTCATCGTGTCATAAACTCAGGTCAACAACGGTCCCTTACTCCTAAGCGGACGCTAAACCCTTAACCAGTTCGTATCTCTTAAACCCCAAATCATCAGCACTTCTTATTATCATTACATTACTCCTTTTCGAAAGTCATCATTATGGCGCATTTTATCACCCTTATTCAGTCTGCCTCGCCTTTGGTGTATGTGAGAAGCGCGTGACATATCCTTGTTGTAGGTGAGGCAGGCATACCTTTAGGGGGAGGTGAGGCGGGCAGTACTTTTGGGGTAGGTGAGCCGTACCTTTGGGATAGGTGAGACGCGCCCTAACTTTAGCGCAGGTGAGCGGGGTCTCGTACCTTTGGGGTAGGTGAGGCGCGCGCGCCCTAACTTAAGCGCAGGTGAGCGGGGTCTCGTACCTTTGGGGTAGGTGAGGCGCGCGCGCCCTAACTTTAGGGCAGGTGAGGCGTGCGTGCCGTACCTTTGGGGTAGGTGAGGCGCGCGTGCCGGGCGCGGCCGCCGTCCCCGCAGTTGAACTCGTCGCCGGGCGGACAGCGCTCGCCGCTGCCCACCACCGCCTCCAGGTTCTGCGAGAGCTGCTCGGGCCGGCGCAGCCGGCGCACGCGCAAGATCTGGTACGCCTCCGGGTCGCTGACGTACAGCGAGCCGTCCAGCGGGCTGACGGCCAAGTGGTACCGGTACGACACGCCCGTCGAGCTGGGGGCGCGGAGGGGGGGGGACAGGTCAGTAGAGCTGGGGGCGCGGGGGCAGGTCATTTGCTGAGATCACTGCTAGGCAAGTCACTCGCTGAGATCGCTGGTAGGAGCGGTAGAGGTCAGCAGGCGGGGCACGGCTCAGCCTCAGTCAGGTCCCGTCGTGGTGAGGGCTGGAGGTCACATCGTCGAGGGGCGGTGGCTGGGAACGGTGGACTATAACGACTGGGGATAATTATTATCGAAGAACTCGAAACTGATGGCTTGCCGTGATCTCTAAAACATGTCGAATGACTAGTAGTTCCGTCCAGGTTTTGGAGCTGTTTGGAAAGTTGCATGGGATCGGCGCGGGTTATGAGGCTTTTGCGACTTACAGCCCTTGTAATCCGGCCATGTCGAGCTATTTATTACGGTGGACAGCGCACGACAAAGGTCGTGTCACGAAACAATATTTCACCGGAAAACTATGACGTCTGTGTTTTACTACCGTGGCGCTCGTGTTTTCTGCAGAATGGCATTCAAATAAGGCTAATGTACTCGCTTCTAATATGAGACCAACAGCTTATGTTGCAAACGTGAAATGCGTACAGATGATAACCAGTTCTAGATAATCCAAAGCTGACATCCCTCATGCCTCATTCACTTATAAGTCATTCGCATCACTTCCTCCCTGACGTTCAATCCTGCCACCTCACGACATTCACGGCGCCACTCGCTTGAGCTGCGCCACGGTCTCCCCTCCGCCCCCCTCCCCACCGTCTCCCCACCGCCACTGACTTGAGCTGCGCCACCGTCTCCCCTCCGTCTCCCCACTGTCTCCCCTCCGCCACTCACTTGAGCTGCGCCACGGTTTCGACCTCCCCGGCGGGCGTGACGCGCCGGATCAGGTTGAAGTCTCCGACGTAGAGGGAGCCGTCGGGCGCGGCGGCCAGCGCGGTGGCGGCCAGCAGCCGCTGCCGGCCCGCCGGGCCCTGGCAGTTGGTGCAGGCGATCGGCCGCTGGTGACTGCCGCCCACAGTGGTGCGCAGCACCTGCGGCCGCTGGCGTAGGTGGATGTTGGTGCCGTCGCCCTTCTGCAGGATACCTGCCGCCGCCGCAACCAGATGGCGTGTTAGTGGGTCCGTTTTTATGACTTGGCTCAAGCTGACATAACACAACATTATCAGAACAAGAAAGCGTGCTTCAAAAAAGTGCTGTGACCTTGACTCATGTTCACCTCCACTGACATCTACAATTTAAATGAAACATGTATATTTGCCATCAATGTTACCAACAAGATATCGGACACAAAAACATACAATAGCTAATGGTTAAATAAGCACAGACACTGACGGGTTAATACAGCTGGCAGGCACGTTGGAGGATCAGTGTGCCTTGCGTGTTAAGTAATAAGCCAGCTCTGGATCGGCCATGATGTCGCGGCTAGGCTCGACCTCAAGTCCTTGCGCCGTGAATTCAGATTTTATTTGTGTAAACAGCTCACGGTAGAATTCTAGACGAGCGGATATGATAGGATTGTCGACTGCTGGAGATAATGGTGAGTGACTATCAGTATGGCTAATGACAGTGGTGGGTGATGGTGATGTGTCAGTCTCAGAATGCATGTTGGGCGCCAAGGATGGTGGTGTTGTGTCAGTGATGGCGTTATTGGCTGAATGTGTTGGCAAATGGGTGGTATGTGAGGCGGCATGACTGTTGTATGTGTCATTGTGAGTCTGTTGTTTTTGTGTTTGTCGTAGTCCTGGGGTTCGTGGTTGTACGTGATGTGGGACGGTGTCGGAACTTATGGAGAAGTGTGTTGCCGATCCTATGATTGCCGCCGCGTTTCCACGTATGATGGCCATCGATATCCGCTGCCACAACCAAGTTGTTTCCCTTCGGTCACCAGTTGACTGTGACATACGTCTGCCGAGCTCCTTGAAAAAGCGACAAGCAGCAAGCAATTTAAATTGTCCATGGACCGTATGAGATCCCTAGCACCCATGGACGGCGTCTGCCTACCCTCTGCTGTGTTTCCTACCCTCTGGTATGTTGTAGGCGTGGTGGATGTCCAGGTTCCAGCCGCCGATCTCCGATATGCTGATGTCGCTGCCGGCGATGGCCGTCGTCTGCGTGTCCCAGATGATCTGGCTGCAGTCGGCGTACTCGTACCCCACGCGCACGACCGCTGTGGCCACGCCGTAAACGCGCTGACTGCGGGCAGAGGTCGGGAGCTGGTCAGTCTTTGTAGAGGTCGGTCCACAGGGTCAAACTTCGATTAGAGGTCGGTTCATGGGGTCAGGTCTCGATCACAGGTCAGTCAGCATGTTCAGAGGTCATGTCGGGACGGAGGGCGGACGTCAGCTTAGTTACAGCATGGGGTCACGGTCGAGCAGAATCACGTACCTTGACAGCCTGTGTACCTACTTAGTGTAAAGTCTAGGTTATCGTGTTGTCACTTGTGACGGGAGATGTCACGACTACGAGCCAAGTTCAAAGAGCTGCCAGTCAAAAGTCGCCAACATGTCTACATGCCACGGCGTTTGTTCTTCAAACACGATATTCTGAACTTTCTACGAAAAGCTCCCTGTCGTGTACAGAACTTCCCAATTAACGACAGCGGGGTGTCATAAGCCAGTAAATTGCAATAATAGTTCCCAGAATGTCGTGTCGTGCAACTGTTTGGCTCAGGACGGCGTCCAAATCAAAGTGTCGCGGATCAGCGCTGTCGGCGGCGGCGCTGCCTGCCTTGTTTGACTGACGGGTCTGTGATTTACGGCCGGTGCCATGGGCGGGGCGGGGGCGGGGCGGGGGCGGCGGACTCGGCAGCGTGACTCCGCGTGGACTGTCCGGGTGACACGACACGCAACTCTGTTGACACGGGAGGTGAGCTGTTCGGGGAAAGCCGTCACCTCCACCTGGGGAGCGCTGTGCGAGGTAGGGCGCATCGCTGTCTGAAGGGTTTCATAGGAATGTTGAAAGTCGTCGACCCGCAAGGGGCATGCCAAGTAAAGCTTGTCAAATGTAGGTAAATTACATGATTTGGGCAGGCGCTTCTCCAGCGCACTGCAGTGGCCTGGATAAATATATTGATGACCCCGTACATACTGAGCCGTCGCGTGTTTTCAACTGACGGCGCCCCATTCACTGCCTGAATCCCGCAGACGAATCCTGCCAGTAGGTACACGACTCGCACCTGTACACGTTGAGCCTGTTCCAGGAGTAGGTGAACTTGATGTTGGGCTCGGCCTCGAAGGTCTTCTTGAAGAGCTCGCCCTGGAGGTGGACGCGCAGGTGGACGAGCCGGAGAGCGGGCGGCACGAGCTCTGGCGTCAGCTGCAGCTGGATGGTGCTCTGGTAGCCGCGGCTGCGTGACGAGTGGTAGACGAGGTGCAGCTCTGTGCCGGGCACTGGGAGCGACTCCTGCACCACCTGCGACTCGGCCAGCACCGCCGACTCCTCCGGACAGCCGCCTGTGGGGGGACCACAGCGGGACGTCAGCGGGGGCGTTAGACGAACGGGGACGGTATGGAGGTCAGGAGCCGGGCTTATTTACGGAACTCGTCAGATAACCGTCTGACGAGGCCCAATGCGCCGTTACACGATGGGAGGTAGCCGGTGGGCGGAGAGGCTGCTGTATTCTGTACAGAGGCTATAAAATGCAAAAAACGACAAAAAAGAAGTTACCGATCTGCTCTAATTGTTCCATCTGGTTGTCGACCAGTGTTTTTTTCTTTCTTGCAAACTTATTGTTAAACGGCAGTTCTAGCAGCCGTCAAAGTTCCACAATCCACGATGACCGTTCCATGACCCAATGGCATTGATAACAGCACCAAATGGCCGACTCCGAGTCCCCTAAGTGCCTCCAGCGCCGGTCGCGGCACCCACCTTGGAACTCGTGCTTCCAGCTGGCGAGCACCACGGGCCGCATGACGTCGTAGTCGTGCTCGGTGCAGGCCTGCGAGCCGCCGTACAGCGGCGCCGCCGGCTCGCGGGTCAGCTGCACGTCGTCGATCACCACGATCTGAGCGACAGAACAGAGACAGGGGCAGCGAGGTAAAGGACCCGCAGCAGTCAGCACAGCAAGGACGGGCAGAAATGGTTTCGTACTGATTTTACTGCAGATAGATTATTTTGCAATACCAATGACGCCATGATGTGCTCAAAGCCCATTGCTGATGATACCCATATAAATGTAGGTACTTAGCGAATTCTATCACATTACCAAGACCGTTATCAGTCCCCCGCCGTCCCTTCAGCTCACGCAGCGGCCGCACTGACCTCGTTCCAGGGTACGTGCAGGACGCGCTCGGCCGGCGCGAATGGCGACCGGCGGAACCAGAGTTTGACGGCGCCGCCGCCATTGGCCAGGAAGTCGAACCAGCCGTCGGCGCGGGTCAACGTGAAGCCCTCGGCGGCGTTATCCGAACTGACCCGAACGCCGGGCACCCCGTACCCGGCCTCGGTGGTGACCCGGCCGCGCAGTACCGCCGCCCGACTGCGGGCCCAGGTGAGTCAGAGGTCAGACGCCGAGCACAGAGGTCAGTCGCGGGTCACAGAGGTCAGTCGCCGGTCACAGAGGTCAGCCAGAAGTCGGTCACGAGTTTCTGGTCAGCAGAAGGTCGGTCACTAGAGATCCTTTGTAGATAGGTCGGGAGAAGGAGAAAGGACATCTCGGCGGCATTTGATGGTTCTTCCAATACTGGGTGCTAGGCAGACAAGTGGACAGTGGACGGAAGTGGAGTTACACAGACGGCCTCCGTGCCTATGGGATGTATGTGCTCATCAGCAGTTTGCCTGCTTGATAGCAAACACACTTGCTTTCAAACTTCTCCTTCTTAATTAATAACTTGTAATGCGAAACATCTGGCGCTTTGCCTCTCTGGTTCATCGGTATGACTCGCACCAATGAAAGCTCAGAAAAGAGTAGCCTGAGTGAGGCTCAGGGCGGGCCAGGTTTCATTTCCTAGCCCGTAGGTCACGGGTCGGTCACACTAACTGCTATCCAGATTAGCTATTGGAAGTGCGCGGCGCTGAAGCCGTCTGAACGGATGGCTGATCGAGGTGCGGCCGTCTGAGCTGATGGCTGATCGAGGTGCGGCCCTTTGGGTCGCGGCCGGCGCCGGAACTGAGCGGCTGAAGGTCAAAGGTCGACTGGAGGATCCGGTGAGGACTGAGGAGTGCGACAGATTGGAGTGGCGGAGACATCTGAGTGACGGGCGCGGGGCCAATAACGACAGCGGCACGGGTGTGAAACCTCAATATTATACTACACAGCCTACCATGAATACAACGGGCATTCATGTATATGTAAAATGTGAATGTAATAAAAAGGCATGTACACAAATAAATGTTATGTGATAAAAATACTATAAGTATTTAAAACTATTGTAAACGCATATTGAAAGTCGCGTACGTCGAACATTAGATTTACGTAAGGCACATATTAGATCGTAGGGATGCGAGACGCTCCATTTCGCTTTCATGCATGCTAATGGAACTTCAATAAAGCGCAGGACGCTGCGATATTGAATGCGACAATTGGCATACATTCTGGGCTCAGGTTATAAAACGTAAGTGTAACTACGGCGATTTTAAGTTCAGCTGCGTTACAGTTCACATAAAAAGGACATAAACATTGAACAATTTATGTTCAGGAAGATGTACCAGATATAAAAACCGAAAGTGGCTCATAACACGTGTGGAAATAGGAAAGAGTGTTGCATTTCACATCCAGAGTGCTAACATTGCTTACCTGGCATTAAACGTTTCCCAAAACAGGCTGCCGTAACACAGAGAAAGGGACAGTTGTAAAAGAGGCTTCCACAGGTATAGCAAAAGCCATAACTCTAAACGTCCAACGAGCAACTAACGCCTCCAGTCACGGCGTTTCTCAAGCCCTCGGCATAAACGTTAACAGACTAGCAACATTGGAATCACGGGGGATCATAATAACACATATTTACGGCGCCAGCCGCACGCCGCGGACATTTTGGGCCGGCGAGTAACGTATGGCGCCGGCGCCCGCTGATATGTGTGATATGTGATATGTGAACGCTGATATGTGAACATAAATGTCGTTTCGCTTCATTTACAAAATGTTATGAATGATCATGGGGCAGTTGCCAGAATCATGATCTTGAAATTCTGCTGTTCATTTTTAAAATATTAGTTGAACTCGTACATCACCGGTCGGTTTAGTAACACTGAGAAGCAGGGTAGCCTACGCTAGGGACAGCGCAAACACTTTTTATCCGTTCACACAGAGAGCATCGGGCGGGGCACGGTACACTCTGGCCACACCAGCACGGGTCAGCACAGGTCAGCACGGGTCAGCACGCTCAGACGAGCACACACACCCAGAGTGCGTGCCGCCCGCCGCTGGCACCGCTGCGGCCGGCGCGGCCCGGCGGCTCACCTCTGGTTATAGACCTCGGCGCGCGCGTAGCGCTGCACGCTGTCCTCCTCGATCAGGAACTGGCTGCGCTCGAAGAACGAGGCGGTGATGCGCGGCGGGTGTTTGCCGAGCAGGATCTCCACGGGGTCGGGCGCGCTGAGACACAGCTGACTGTCGGCGCACGCCGGCGACTGGCAGCACTCGGGGTCCTCGCAGTCCACCAGTTTGTCTGTCGGCGGCGCGGAGCGGCCGGTCACGCGCTGCGCAACACGGCTGACGGGCTCGGAGCGTCCCGGCTGTGCGGCTTTGTGTGGGAAACACGGGTCCGGAACCGATCATGACTACTCTTTGCCGCCGGATATTTGTCTGTGCCCTCACCTTTGCCGCTGCCCAAGTGTCCGGTGCTCTCACCTTACAGCCGTTCAGGAGGCCGTCTCTCACCTCTGTTGCTGTTCAGGAGGTCAGTGCTCTCTCACCTTTGTCGTTGTCGACGCGGTCGCCGCAGTCGCTCTCCAGCGGCAGCGAGCAGTCGTCGCCGAACCAGCCCGAGTCGCAGCTGCACTCCCACTCGTTGTCGAACGACAGCTGCCGGACGGCCGGCGACGGTCACTTAGCAGCCCAGTTCGCGCAACTTCGGTCTCAAACGACAGCTGCGCCCCCGGCCACAGTGGTCCGTTGTCAAGTTTAAAGCCACTGCGGCGGCGGCGACGGTGCCGTTTAAAGCGTAAACAGTGAACTCTCCGTAGGCTGTGCTCAAGTGGGACCGTGCTGAAGGCAGTGGGCGTTTTGCTCCCTGCAAATATCTCCAAATGGATGTTTACTCGGTGGTTAGCGGCTACGGTGTGTGCCGGGGGCTGAGTGCTTCGAGACAAGACGGCAGCCGGGCGGTTACGACCCGCAAAAAGCGACAGGCCGGGCGGCTCGCTGCCTACATACCGTAAACCGGGGTGAGTTGATATGGATTTTGAGGTTATTCTAGATTTCGTTAAAAGCCACATTCATTTACGGAATTCTTTTTGTGCCAGTTTCATGGCACATGCCTTGGGGAGGCAATCAGCAAAAATGAATAAAAAATGTATATATTAAGCCCCTTTTTTAAAACGCCAAAGTTCATATCAACTCACCACCCAACAGGGGGTGAGTTGATATGATTTTGGATTTTTCAAAATTTCTCGGCTAAAGAAGCTCAGAGGTGAGTTGATAAAATGCCAGTGTTTAAAAAAAGGATGAGAGAACACATCCTGAAAGAAACCATTAGAAAAATGCTAGTAGTTTGGCAGCAGACCTCACATTCATGAAAACGCAATCATGTCCAACACAGCGCGATCAAAATGGCTTGATTTTAGCAGCATCATTTTTTCGCTTTATGATACTTAGTTTTACTTAGAACATTCTGAACTTGGCTAGTCACGTGTCCTCAAGCCAACGGTATCAAAACTGGCAATATATTTTGGAATTACAAGTGTATTTTCTTGTAATTAAAACACATTGTCAGTTGCGGGTCAAGGTTGATATGCCTCTGACAGAAATAATGGATTGAAATGAAAGAATACATATACTTCTGAGCTTTTGTTGACTGGTAGTCAACAAAATATTAATGAAGTGAAGTGAAGCGAATCTAATTCGGACTGTATTCTAAGCGACATAAAACAGAATTCGGCATCAAAAGCCAAAATTAACCCTCGCACTTATAGGCGGGCGAACGGACCACCTCGGCTTTTCGCACATAACTCGCGCAAAAAGCGGCCGATCACGACGAAACTTTCAGTACCTCTCGAGTTTATCAATTTTACACATGTTCCAAAGATTTCATGACTCTGACTCAAATGGTTTTTGACTTGTGACCTGATTCTCGAGACCATGCTTGGCCGGAATCGCGATTTGGCGTAGTCGGCTCACATTATCCGCGCATTTCCAGTCTTTTTGTGATTGTAACGTCCAAACATGCAAATGATGTTGGTCCCACGCAGTATTTTGGGTGTCAACTGTCAAGGTCACCTGAAGGTCAGGTCAGGTCATTGACCTTTGGTGACCTCGGTTCACTTTTTGGAGTTTTACATGTTTCTAGGGTAGTTTTTTTTTCGGGCCGATTTCGAATTTAACATGCATTTGATCATTTATGAAGTAGTTTTAGTGCCTTCGTAACATGTTACGACACCGTCAGTGGTAGCTGACACTTGACACTCCCTATGGATAGCCGGCAGGACACCTACTGGTTGACCTGACCTGACCTGGCCTAAATGTACGAAGACATCTGTGAGCAAAACTAACATGACATTCGCGATCAGCAACAGCCAAAAAATAATAAACTCGCTTTACGAACTTCAAATAACCCCCTATTTTCCCGACTTCTGGGTAATTGACCTGGCCTGGAAGGTTAACCAATGACCAAGTTGGTTATCATCGGCTTCCTCGCGTCTCGGGCAACACGCTCATTTTTTCCGCGAAGCTCTAGCTCCACCAGGGGCCAAACGACGATGGGATTCCAACGGACCCCCCCCCCCCCCCATACGTTAAACGCTGGCAAAACACGAATACGGGCGAGGGCTAAACACCAGTCAATTTCTTTATATTGTTTGTTCCATTTCATTTTGCCTCTCATTCTCGGTTGGCAACTGCCAAGCAGGAAAACTAATCAGTTTCACGAGATCAGAATTCCCGCGCTGTTAGCCATACAGAAATGACAGTTCTGTCATTTTCGAAGCTACGAATAAATATAACAGTTTTTTAATCTGTATGTAATATAGGTGTTCTATAGTGTTCCTTTGTAGCTTGTAGGGAGCCATCTTGAGACTTGACAGGGAGCTGTGCTGTGCCTTTTTTCATGTTAGGTATGTCCACAGAAAAAAAAAACTTTGGGGTTACTGATGTTAGTTGTCGGACCTTCGTCCCCGTCTTGAGTTGAGATTCAGTTTCATAACGTTTCGGCCAGTTACTCTCCGGCCGTCGTCACTCGTCAGGTGTTCTTTGACCCTCAAGGACCTGGATGTTGGTGGCGTTGCGCCGTACGCGTCAAACAGTTCGAAAGCTCCTGTAGTCAGCGGGAATCGAACTCGGGTTTCCCCGGTGATGGTCCACGGTTGTAACCACTCCACTATCGAGGCAGGCTTGACTACGGCCGGAGAAGCTACTGGCTGAAACGTTGTGAAACTAACATCTCAACTCAAGACGGGGACGAAAGTCCGACAACTAACATCAGTGATACTAACAGGCCTCGTCTCAAGCATTCAGAAAAAAAAAACTAAAGCTTTTGGGGTTGATGGAATGATGTGGGGAAAGAAAAGGAGAAGAGTTGGTCTAATTCAGTTCAGTTCGTGTATTCACATTAAATCCGCTGGTAGGCGGCTTTTCATTAATGCAATGTCAATTGATAAGATAAGAACAGGCTAAGACATACACCATTCATCGTATCACACATTCATCACAATGAATCGTTAAACCGTGTCTTCCTACGTCTGATTTTGTAACAAGTGAAGTTTGACTGCTCGTTTAAAAGACACTCGCCCTTCGTAGGTGGCACAGAACACATTGTAGGCCCGGGCAGCGCTTGTCGAACAGCACTGCGGATCCGAAGGTTGGGACTTTAATTGTGAAAAACCGCCCGCCCGCCCGCCGCCAAACGCAAACACAGCAAAACGCGCAAAACGCACGCCTAAAACGCCAACGCAAACTTCGCAAAAAAACAATCGCCCGCCCGCCGAAAACCGCAGAAAAAAACGCACAAATTGCCGCAAAAACCGCGCGTCCGCCGCAAAACACAAACCCCGCAAAAAACGCAAACACCGCCGCCGCAAAAAAAAACGCCCGCATCGCCCACCGCCAACCGCGAAACGCCGCAAAAAAACGGCCGCACGCCGCGAACCGCAAAACGCCGCAAAAACGGGCGCCCGCCGCAAACCGCTAAACGCCGCAAAAAACGACCGCCCGCCGCTAACCGCAAATAACGGCCGGCCGCCGGCAACCGCAAAACGCCGTAAAAAACGGCCGCCCGCCGCAAACCACAAAACGCCGCAAAAAACGGCCGGCCGCCGCAAACCGCAAAACGCCGCAAAAAACGGCCGCCCGCCGCAAACCGCCACTAAAACGGCCGCCCGCCGCCAAACACAAAAACCGCAAAAAACGCAAACACCGCCGCAAAAACAACGCCCGCAACGCCCGCCGCCAACCGCAAAACGCCGCAAAAAAAAAACAGCCGCCCGCCGCCAAACGCAAACACCGCCAAAAACGCAAAAACGGCCGCCCGTCGTCAAACGCAAACCCCCAAAAAAAAACGCAAACACCGCCGCAAAAAACGCCCGCCGTAAGTAAAACGCTAACACTGACGCATTAAGACAAATATGGCGCCCTGCGGCAAATGTGGTGCAATCATATCTGCCGTTTAAGCAGCCATCCCTTAATTACAGCGCATCCTAATCGTCCAATGTTCGACAAAGTTACGCACATTCTGCGCTTTGCGGCAAAAATGGCGCTTTTAGACAAACGTGGCGCACTGCAACAAACATGGCGCATTCGTTCATGTCGCTTAACAATTCATCCACCCACCAAATTTGAACCCAATCGGACCATATTTGAGAAAGTTATGGACATTTGAATATTTCACGATAAAATATCTCCGCAAAAGAGGAGCCCAGCTGAACACGTGTGCCACGTGACCACTGGTGATGAAAGCAGGACCTGTCACCTCACCGACTGACCCAATTTAGTGTTCTTGGCTGGTTCTGTTTCCACGCTATACGGCCACCAGTTGGCCAAAACACCATTATGTGGGAGGTACTCGACTCAAACACGTGGCCACGTGGCACGTGCCGGACCTCTGACAGCTTCACCGTTCACGCCACGTGATGACCCATCGACGTGGCCATCAGCATGTAAAAGATGACCCCGGCCGGTGTCACCGTCACTGAACAGTGGACGGCTAAACTCGAAAAACGGGAAAATTTAGGGAAATTTCACCTTTCGAATATATAATTTCCCTAGAATTTTAAATCTTTCATTTTACAAAAAATCCGAGATAGCAGTTTTCTAGCCCCCTTCATTTTGTGTCCATACCCGTTTTCAGATCAACTCTATCATAAAAACTGACGGCCTGACGGCCATTTCCCCCATTCCTTGCATTTCACAATGCTAGTATATTTAAGCACCAAAATTGACCCCGTGGCACGGCACGTGCAATAGCACGTGCGCCACGTGACCACTAGTGCGACAAGCTGGACTCATCTGCTCACCGGCTGCACTGATTTGGTGTCGCTAGTTGAAGTCGTTTCCACGCCATAGGACCCCCAGTTGGCCAATGTCGGATTTTCCCGGAGGTTACCCCATCAAACACGTTTGCACGTGGCACGTGCTTTTCAATCGCCCCATATCTGACCCATACCACGTGGTAGCCGACACCCCGGGGCACAACATATTGGAACTTTTTCAAAATCTAACGTGGAAATTTTTGGTAAAATCGAGTTGAAAATAATTTTTCGAATTCGCCATAGGCTCAACATGGGGTAACTGTCCGTCACGATTACCCGAAATTGTATCCTATGATTTTTAAATAATTAACCCCAAAAGTTGCGGTGCCAGCCCTAGATCCGACC